TGCGTCTTAAACACTAATTGCAATACAGAACTCACAAGTGAGATGTATAGAACTGACAACTTTGCTTTCAGAGGTTAGATAATAGTTAGAATCTCGATCGAGAGAATCTACGTAGTACACGTTTTTTCACCTAGCTGATCGCGTGCGCATAAGCAATCCTGCACGTGATATGTACGTGGGGTTGTTACTTGGCAACTCACAGAGTGTGCTCGTAATCATAGGATATGCCTACTAGCGTATTATTAGCTCGTTAGTAGTGTTGCAAAATGATTATTGTTATTACCAAGGTAATAAGTAAAACTAAGAAAAACGCTTTTAGCCAAGGTAGCGTAATTTAATCATGGGTATTTAGATTTGCATAAGGTGAAGGCAGGAAAGAGACCTATGCCCTTCCAACAACGTTACGCAGTCAGTCAGTCAGATTGACAAGTTTTTGGTTTTTTGAAATTTTTGCTTTTACTCTACCGACTTTCTCAAGTGCTTTGGTGTCTTGTTACTACTCAACAGTGAATGTAAAGTACTTTTAAGTTTTATTTACATGTCGTTTGTAGTTTGTTTGAGATTTTAATTTGTATTGCACAGCTGGCCCATTCCTATTATAAGTAGTACCGTACTTATGTTTAGTAAATAGCGATTCCACATCAAAACTAGTAATTACCATATCATGATCAAAATTTAATTCTCTGATCTCAAAAACTAAAACTGTCTTTCAGAGTTCATTCATTACATATAAATTCCTTTAAACTATGGCGTAAATTATTTACCATTTTATAATTACAACGTTCTATATTAGATATGATAGGTTTCGTGGGCCAATTTAGTTTAAGCATTTTTGATAATCCGTGTGAAATAGCAACAGAAGAATCGCATTTTTTGTTTTAATGGAAATATTCGTATATGATCAAATAGATGGAATTAGCATGCGGCTATTTCAAGCCAGAAAATGATAATGTGCTTCATCAGAAGAATGTAGACTATGTAGAAAACGTTAGATAGCATAAGCAGTTGCAATATAATTATATAAGTATAATTGTTTTCACAACAAAAATAGCATAATCAATGAGCACGTCAAGAAAGCTTCCACCCCTAAAGAAGGGGTGTATAGTGTACCAAAAAAAAAGTTCATATAACACTACCATTCACCTGTAAACACGCCTTGAAAATAAGGAAACAGTTAAAGACCTTAATGTGCAACGTTTATCTGCAAGTAGAACTTCGAGTCATCCTTAAATCCATCTTCAGAATAAGGAACTATTTTATACTTAAAAGATAAAATAGATAAACCAAACCGCTCGAATGTCATCTTCGGGTGTTCTAGAGTATATATATATATATATATAGGATCTAATATAAGAAGATTGGCTGAGAGATTAAAAGAACGGAGGTTTGTGGAAGTATCAAACACGTGCTAGCTCGTAGTGACAATCTCGTAACTATTGAATAGTTTCAAATTATTGGGCCCCCCAGTAAGTCTGCGGACTTACAACGTTAGAAACCGGGTTTTGATACCCGTGGCGGGCAGAGCACAGATAGCCCATTGTGTAGCTTTGTGCTTAATTACAAACAAACAACAAAGTATGCAGCAGCGACGGTCCACCAGAGTTTTGGATCTTTACAGTGGAAGAGGGTCATAGAAGTTCATGACCCAAACTCCATTAATTCATAATTGTTAATTAACATGTTTTCGATCTTGTCGTGTGTGTAAATTGTCACTCTAAAAGGTAATCTAAGTCTACATTTAGAATTCAAGACTTGTTTAAAACCAAAAATATAATATCCAGCCCTACTTGCGAGTGGGTTGCTTATAAATACACTTTTGATAGCTATAAAACTACGCCTCGTCTACAATTATGAGCATAGGAATTTCAGCTAGAAGCAGATAAAAGCTAACTAAACCACTTCAGTCTTGTATTCAATTACACAGTTACAAAAACCACCCCGAAGTTCTTGAAAACTTTGACTCTGGAACCATTTTCGTTTATCATACCACAATAAATAATAACATCAATTCACCCCTCTTGTAATTAATCATTTACATTGCTTTTATTATTATTTGTTTTAATATGCAATGGTTTATAACTTTTCTTTATGTTTTACCTTATCAACATTATTAAACGTATGTGAACTGCACGTTTTATCATAAATTCCTTTATGTTATCACCATTTTAAGTCCGTGCTTGCTATTAAAAAAAAACAAAAAACATCTTGCTTAATAGTTGACGTTTTTTTGTAATTCGAATGTTGTGAATTATCTTTTTGAGGTTTTTGGCACTGATGATGAAATGCGGAACAATTCTGAAACGTCCGTAATTAAAGATATTTTTGGTATAACCCTTGTTTCTAACATTTATTATAAAACTTCGTTTTCCACCTGATGAATCAGTTCCAAATGGATCTATATGGTATTCTATAGTGGATATAAAGGGTGGACCAAAATAGTAACTAAAATAAACAATTACAATTATCTTATTGATTATGACTATTCAAGGTGTTAAACTTAGTGGCCACAAGGATTGATGCAGGTTTAGTGGTGGGAGGGAGATATTTGGCTCAAGTTCTACTCATTAGGATCACATTCCATCTGAATGTACCGTTAACTTGTTTATGTGTAAACCCATCGATATTGATTCCTGCACATAATGAGGGGATTGATAACCCAGGGAAAGTCCTGCCTTAACAGTTTACCTTCTCTGGGGATTGATCTCCCAGGGAAAGTCCTGCCTTTACAGTTTACCTTCTCTGGGGATTGATAACCCAGGGAAAGTCCTGCCTTTACAGTTTACCTTCTCTGGGGATTGATAACCCAGGGAAAGTCCTGCCTTTACAGTTTACCTTCTCTGGGGATTGATCTCCCAGGGAAAGTCCTGCATTTACAGTTTACCTTCTCTGAATTCAAACATCCACCCGTTCGTCGCGTGTGGTGACCAGTCCTGCCTTTACAGTTTACCTTCTCTGGGGATTGATCTCCCAGGGAAAGTCCTGCCTTTACAGTTTACCTTCTCTGGATTCAAACATCCATACGTTCGTCGCGTATGGTGACCAGTCCTGCCTTTACAGTTTACCTTCTCTGGGGATTGATAACCCAGGGAAAGTCCTGCCTTTACAGTTTACC